CAGGTTCTCCGCCTGTCTTCAAGGCTCGTTACGTTGCTCGAGGTTTCAGTCAGCGAGAGGGAGTTGACTTCTTCCAGACCTTCTCCCCTACCCCGAAGATGACCACTCTTTGGGTGCTGCTGCACGTTGCTGCTCAGCATGACTACGAGCTTCACTCTCTTGACTTCAGCACAGCTTTCTTACAGGGCAGCCTGCACGAGGAAATCTGGCTGCGCCGCCCTCCTGGCTTCACTGGGTCGTTCCCTCCTGGTACCCAGTGGAGCCTCCGGCGGCCGGTCTACGGTCTCCGCCAGGCGCCACGTGAGTGGCACGACACACTGAGGACGACACTTGCTGCTCTTGGGTTTGCTCCGTCGACTGCTGACCCGTCGCTGTTTCTGCGCACCGACACTTCGCTGCCGCCGTTCTACATCCTCGTGTACGTCAACGACTTGATCTTTGCCACTGCTGACACTGAGGCTCTCGCCATGGTGAAGTCGGAGCTGCAGAAGAGACACACGTGCACAGACCTGGGTGAGCTGCGCAGTTACCTTGGCTTGCAGATCACCCGGGACAGAGCACGCCGCACCATCACACTGACTCAGTCACACATGGTGCAGCAGGTCCTTCAGCGCTTCGGCTTCACCTGGTCCTCGGCACAGGCCACTCCTCTGGCTACAGGTCACTCGCTCTCAGCTCCACCTTCGGACGAGTCCGTAGAGCCGAGTGGTCCTTACCCAGAGCTAGTGGGCTGCCTCATGTACCTGATGACTTGCACTCGTCATGACCTTGCGTACCCTCTTGGCCTTCTGGCTCGCTACGTGGCTCCTGGTTGGCACCGAAAGGTGCACATGGATGCTGCTAAGAGGGTACTACGCTACTTGTGCAGTACATCGGGCATGGGGCTCGTGCTTGGAGGACGGAGCGACATTGTCCTCACTGGGCACTCAGACGCTTCTTGGGTTGACGACCAGGCTACGCAGCGGTCGTCACAGGGTTACACCTTCAGCCTTGGCTCTGGTTCGGTTTCTTGGCATTCTACACGCTCGTCTTCAGTTCTCAGCTCCAGTTGTGAGGCTGAGATCTACGCCACAGCCCTGGCTGCACAGGAGTCACGCTGGCTCACCTACCTGCTGACCGACTTGGGAGAGCGGCCTCGTTCTCCTCCAGTGCTGTACGTCGACAACAAGGCCGCCATTGCCTTGTGTGAGGAGCACAGACTGGAGCACAGAACGAAGCACATCGCTCTGCGTTACTTCCTGGCTCGAGAGTTGCAGCAGCGTGGTCAGCTTTGTCTTGCTCACGTGGCCACTCAGGCCAACACTGCTGATATATTCACCAAGGCACTTCCGTCTGGTGATCATCAGCGTTTCTGCACTTTGTTAGGCCTTGTGCCCACTTTTCCTCACTTGCTGTAGATAGGGCCGCGTCAGCTGCAGGGCTGGGACCACGACACCGGCAGGGCAGGGCCGCGGCAGCTGCTGCAGGGCGGGGCCAGCAGGGCCGCGTCGGCGGCAGGGCAGGGCCGCGACAGCGGCAGGGCGGGGCCGCGTCAGCGGCAGGGCGGGGCCGCGTCGGCGGCAAGGCGGGGCCGCGACAGCGGCAGGGCGGGGCCGCGTCAGCGGCAGGGCGCGCCGCGACAGCGACCTGGCGGGGCCGCGTTGGCGGCAGGGCGGGGCCGCGACAGCGGCAGGTCGGGGCCGCGTCGGCGGATGTCGGGGCCGCGTCGGCGGCAGGGCGGGGCCGCGTCGGCGGCAGGGCGGGGCCGCGTCAGAGGCAGGGCGGGGCCGCGTCAGCGGCAGGGCGGTGCCGCGACAGTGACCTGGCGAGGCCGCGTCGGCGGCAGGGCGGGGCCGCGACAGCGGCAGGGCGGGGCCGCGTCGGCGGCAGGGCGGGGCCGCGACCGCGGCAGGGCGGGGCCGCGTCAGCGGCAGAGCGGGGCCGCGTCAGCGACCTGGCGGGGCGGCGCTCTGGCCTGACGGGCCTGCAGGGGCGGCTCGCGGGCCTGACGGGCCTGCAGGGGCGGCTCGCGGGCCTGACGGGCCTGCAGGGGCGGCGCGCGGGCCTTACCAGCCTGCAGGGGCGGCGCGCGGGCCTTACGGGCCTGCAGGGGCGGCGCGCTGGCCTAGGGCAGCAGTAAGCAGCGCGAGGGCTGCAGGACGGCGCGCGCAGCGCAGCACGTCACAAGGCAAGGCAGGCAGGCAGGACAACACGTGGGGTAGCGCGGTAACCGCAACGGAAGGTGGGCCTGAAAAAAAAGACGGTCCTACGGACCTAGTCCTCTGATACCATGTCAGAATCTAGCAGCAGGAATGATTGAACTATCAAAGAATTGGGTACAAATATGAAACCCTAATGTGGGTTGTACCCCATATTGGCTACCCCACTACAGCCTAAACACATATAGCATATATAATATTTGACAAGAGCCGGAGGAATTTGCAGCTGAAGATGTAGCGGCAGGCAGCTGAAGCGGTGGTAGGTGCAGCAGTGGCAGATGCAGCAGTGGCAGATGCAGCAGCGGCATGTGCAGTGGCAGCAGGTGCGGCGGCGGCAGGTGCGGCGGCGGCAAGTGCGGCGGCAGCAGTTGCGGCGGCAACAGGTGCGGCAGTGGCAGGTGCAACGGTTGAACGCTGCAAGCTCACAGCCACCCCCAGAAGCTCTCCCCCCCCCCCCACGGCGTCAGTAGGGCGCGATCGGCGCGGCTGACTGAGCGGCGGCTGGCAATGCAGGCTTACGGCCGACACCCCCGCCGCCCCCCCTTCCCACAGGGTAGCCACGGCTGGGGCGCGACGGGCAGGGCATGGCGAGCGGGGCGCGGCGGCTGGGGTGGGCAGGGGGCAACGAACGGAACTCGACTTGTCGAACTATACATTTATTGCAGCAGCGCGGCCAGGCACGCGTGGTCACAGTGGCCTTAGAGGCCAACACCGCTGATATCTTCACGTAGGTGCTCTCGCCTCGTGATCATCGGTTCTGCACGCAACTTGGCATTGTTCATACGGATCCTCACTTGATTTAATCTTGCTCTTTGTATTTTGTACTGTATATGATGCTGCTTATGTTTTTATGAACTATTGGACTTGTTATAATGTTTTTGAGATGAACATGGACCGGGGACCGGAACACAATGTGTAACATGCATAATATCAGATCGTGTAATGAAAAATGTACACTTGATGCTCGTTATAGTCGCGCTTGGTTTTAGTAGAGAAGGAGTGAAACTGAATGAGCGCTTTGCTTGCTGCGCTGCTTTTGCCACTGGGAAAAACAGAACCGTATGTAGGCAAGCAATAAACCTTTCACAAAATTTAACAAATGCATAGGTGACAAAATATATTCTTTGTGGTATCACAGCCTTCGACTTTAGTTGTATCCATCTGCACATTTTGAGTTTCCACATGTCGCATCTGGTGGAGGTTGTTGACTATCCATCTGCCGGATTTGAGGTAAGCTGGGTGTCGTTGCCCATGTTGAGTTGAAAATAGGACGTTTTCAGTGGGACTTTGGATTTTGGAAGTGATAAAGTGCGCATCAAGTGTACAGGCGCAAAGACAACATTCCTTTTCATGTTTTGACAGTGAAGCGCTACACCTCTTACGGTCTCGGTTTTGCCCGTGGCAACGAGGGTGACGGAAAGCGAGAATCATGTGTTGTGCCTTGTGTGACTGTATTGACGATATTTTGTACTCGCATCACAACCCGTCACAACTGCGGAGCGTGCTTGGCCCTTCCAACTTCTTTCTCGATCCATCCAAGGTGTCTTCCGGGCTGTGTGATTGGGCGGGCGGTACAGCATTTTCGTTTCTTTCAGTGCAAACACTGGGCTTGGGGGTTCGAGGAGCAACTCTGTGATGACCAATGGGTGCAGATTTTTGTCATCCAGCACTGTCGATTGGTCGAGACTGCCCAGACGCGTAAAGCCAATCCGCTTCGAGTGCTCGTCCTTCGGTGTTTGTGAACCACGACCCTGCCCAGTTTTAGTGTACACTACACATTATTTTATGAATAGCGAATGTGCTAATCTGTGGGTTCACACACTCACTGCAGCATTGCAAAAGAAAGTGTACTCAGCAGATATTTCCACTAGGTCAGGGGAGCGGGCTTTTGGAGTTGACATGTGCTACTGTTGACATGTGGATCTTTCCAAGTGGACCCATCCCACCCCCATCCAATGATAGCGAAAAGGCAAGAGAAAACGCATGTGACCACGTCACACCGATCTCGATCCGCGCTGGCAATGGACGCTTGTATGAAATGTCCACCGTGCCTTCGCGAGCGAATTCGCCTCTCGAAGCGCCAGTTGCCACGCCCACCCGTGTGTGCCGCACATTTCTACATTCTCCACAAAATCCTTCCTCGCAGCATCAGCAGGAACCCCGCCAATTTCCTTCCGCTCGCCCCACACTCAAGCAACTCGACTCAGAATTGATGGCCCTCAGCGCGCCATCTGGAGCAAACTTGCTTGCGCGTGCGTTTCAAGGCCCCCTTCATGCAAGGGCCAGTCATCTCCGCGAGACCTTTTGAACAATCCGATCAAGGATGGAGCCAGCGAGCGCAGCAGCCGCAGCACCACACCACTGCTGCGCAGCACCACACCACCACCATAAATGCAGAATGCGAAATCCCTCGGAGCAAGAATTGATTTGTCTGAGAAAGTGGTTCCTAGAGGAAAGCATACTGACATCGCGTCACCCATCGTGTGACACGCAAAGAATCGCAATGAGCGTGTTGATGCCTCCGAGGCCGCAAATAGCGGCGCCGGGGAAGCGATTGCGACACATAGATTTTAGCGAGGGGGAGGAACTGGTCGTCGAATGTGACCGTTACGCAAAGAAGCCGGCCCTCGTGTGCGCCTCGACGTTGAATTATAACGGCGAGGAGACTGACGTCCCCAGCGACGCGGTTCACGCTTGGCTGAACTTTCCGGGTGCGCAATGCGACGCGGAAGGAGCACCGTGGGAAGCGGAAAGAGCACCTTGGGAGGCGGAAGGAGCGAAGTGGGGCGCGAACGCAGCGCCATGGGCGGTGGCTCCGAAGGCTCCGAAGGGAATGCGCATGGCGCACAGCAACCGCTGGTGGACCCCCGAGGTACACTCCGCTCTGCCACGTGACGTTACTACGCGCGCCTCCACGTGACGTGTCATGCGCTCCTCATCCCCACCTTGCTTGCCTCTTTGCCATCTTTTCTCTCGCTCCACTTTTCGTCATTCCTCGCAATCCACCCTTGTGTGGCTCACTCTCTTCTTGCGTCCATCCTACTTCCCCTCGCGCTGCTGCATGTATGGATGGCTGGCGCGTGGAGCAGGAGGACGAAGTGTTGCTGCAGCACGTGTGCGTGCACGGCACACGCAACTGGAGCAAGCTGCGCGCCTCGGGGCTGCTACCACCACACCGCGACAACAAGGCCTGCTGCAACCGCTTCATCCTCCTTAAAAGGTGACTCGAGCAGCACTAGTGCTAATTTCGTGGGTCCCGTGGTTCTTGTAGAAACCCATGGGAACTATTGAGCGTGTCAGGGCTGCAGATCTTAGCATTCTGCACGCAGTGAAGGCAGGAGAAGGTCAGATCTCGTGTGATCTCTTCTTTCCTCCGCCCACTTGAGCCGTTCCGCTGCGCTCGCTCTCCCCTCTCTGCTCTCTTTCCTCAACCTCGTCCTTTTTCATTCCCGTGCTCATCCGCCATGTGCTCGCGTGTGAGCAGGAGGTTCCTGGAGACACAAGGCGCAGGCGTGAGCAGCACCACCACGAGCAGCAGCAGCGGTGCGGCCAGCCTGGCAGCCACTGCTGGGGCGTGGTGCTCCTCGTCCTTCGCCGCCACTTCCCACTTTCTCCCCGCTCCTCCCCCTCTCGCTCCTCCTCCTCCTCCTCCCGCTGTGGCGGCTGCGGGTGCGGCAGAGACAGCAGCAGCACAGCACACGGCAGCGGCGGCAGTGGGATGGGAGCTGGCAGCAGCGCTACTCAACGACGACCACGACCCTTATGCTGCACCTGACCATGCCGTTGATGCTGCCACTCACGCTGCTGCACTCCAAGGGAGCCCACCGGTCATGTCTGCGGGCGAGTCAGAGTGGAGTGCGGGCGACACAGCAACAGCCTTGACGGATCCGTTCAGCCTCTCGTGGGATGCCACGAGGGATGCCACAGCCGCACCCACGTCCACCGCCCTCACCACACACCCGCTGGCCTCCGGATCACCTCCACTGCCTCTCTCCTGCCGCCCCTCCTCGCCACCACGCTCCTTCCTCACCCGCCAATCCTCTATGCCCGCCAATCCCCACGGCCTCGTCACCGAACCTCACAGCCTCGTCACAGATCCTCACGGCCTCGCCACCAATCCTCACAGCCTCGCTACCGAACCTCACGGCCTCGCCACCGATCCTCACGGCCTCGTCACCGATCCCCTCGGCCTCGCCACCGATCCTCACGGCCTCGCTACCGAACCTCACGGCCTCGCCACCGATCCTCACGGCCTCGTCACCGATCCCCTCGGCCTCGCCACCGATCCCCTCGGCCTCGCCACCGATCCTCACAGCCTCGCCACCGACGCTCAGGGTTTCATCACCAATCCCTATAGCATGCCGCCACTCCCACCGTTTCACCGTGCCCTCCCATGCGCCCCTGCCTCCCGCTCCTCCCCCGCGCTGCCCTCTCCCTTCACCCCCCTGCCTGCTGCTGCCCTCCAAGACCTCACCAACTCGCCCTTCTTCTGCCCGCCCCACCTGCCCCCTGCAATGCTCACCGCCAATCCCTCCGCCTGCCTGCCCCTCGCTGCCTCCTCACGCCCCTCCTCCTCCCCCGCCTCCCTCCCTCGCCCACCGCACGCCGCTCGCCCTGCCTCCGTGCCTGGATTCCAGCGCGCCCTCCTGCGCTCCTACTCGCACTCACACGCGATACCTGCGCTGCCCTCCCCGCCCTCCCTCCTCAAGTCCGTCAGCTCTAGCGCCCTGCCCCTGCCCTTGTGCTCCCCTGCCCCGCCCCTGCCCCTGCCGGCCACTGCCGCGGCCCTGCCCGTGCCAACGTCATCCCCACAGCACCAGCGGGTGCGGCCCTCACAGCGGCCCCACATCCCGCCGCCACGGCAGCCAGCTATGAATGGATGGCAGGCGGTCACTCCCATTGCCCCCCCCTCCGGCACCCACGTGTGCTCCCCTGCTGCGCCCGCCACTCCTCTCTCCCACCTCCACGGCAGCGCAGCAGCAGCGGGAGGGAGAAAGGGGGCGCGGAGGCGGGTGTGGGCGGGGAAGCAGGGGGGGGCGATGGGCGAGGGGCAGCAGAGGGCGGCGTTCATCGACAGCATGGCCCGCTACCTGGGGCTGCCCTCCCCCCCTGCTCTCACCACTGCTGCTGCCTACACTGCACCCTTCACCACCACCACTGCTGCTGCTGCTGCTGCTGCTGCTGCGGGTGGTGGTGGTGGTGGTGGTGGTGGAGGTGGTGAGGGGCGTGCGGCGGATGCAGCAGGGAGGTGAGGCAAGGAGAAAGAGTGTGCGGCCAGGTGTGCATGTCTCAGCACCCTGCCATCTCAGCACCCTGCCATCTCAGCACCCTGCCATGCCCCTCACATGCCATAAGTACATTGTTTACCTAGTCCCATGCAGTGCCTGCATGTGGTTAGTACCCTATACAGGATGTGTTGCTATATGTATGTATGCTATGTAACATTATATGAATCTACACTTGACAAGATACAAATATTCAAAGGAAGAAGCCCATAAAGTGCACGAGCAGGCAGGCACGAGGATGATGATAACCCCCCCCTGGCTAACCACAATTGCCCGCACCGCTGCCAGCACCCCCACCACCATTGCATGCCCTCAACGACACAGCCACCACTCCCAGCCCATAAAAGACAATCACAATCGCCCTGATACCACTACATATACCACCACAATGGGCATGGGCATGGGCATGGGCATGGCCATGGGCATGGGCATGGGCATGGGCATGGCCATGGGCATGGGCATGGGCATGGGCATGGGCATGGGCATGGGCATGGGCATGGGCATGGGCATGGGCATGGGCATGGGTATGAGCATGGGCATGGGTATGAGCATGAGCATCACATGTCACACTCTCGAGCCCCCCACACGTTCTCCCCTTCAGGCAAGCGCCAGTCGTCCGCCCCCGGCTCACACGACACACGCCACACCACCTCTGCCAGCGCCGCACTCACCTCCGCGTCCCCACCGCCCTTTTCCTTCCCCCCTCCACCACCATCACCACCTGTGGCAGCAGCATCACCCGCCGCCGCGGCCGCCGCGGCCGCAGGAGCAGCAGTAGCCGCATGAGGGGCAGGTGGGGCGGAGGCGAAGGCAGCGCGGGTGAGGGAGGGGAGGAGGGGCTGGAAGGCGGCGTGTGTGCGCGGCTCCCTCGCCAGACACACCAGCGTTGCTGCTGCTCGCCTCACCACTCGCCGTAACGGGTGCGGCGCGGTTACCAGCGACAGCAGACGCGAGAGGAGACTGGGGGAGGAGAAGGGGAGGGAGAGGGAGGAAAGAAGAGGGGTGGAAGGGACAACAGAGAGGGATGAGAGAGCAGAACCATCGACAGGAGTAGGAATGTACTCGAGGAAAGAAGGAACAAGGAAAAAAGTCTTCAGAAGTTTTTAAACAAGACCATGTGGAAATAGGTTGGCTCTGAAATGTCTTTAAAAAGCAATAGTAAGGGCAGGAAGAGTTGAGGCAGCAACAGCAAGGGCAGCAAGAGAAAGGGTAGCAAGGATAAGGGTACCAAGCATAAAGGTGGCAAGAGAAATGGTAGCAGGAGTGAAGGTAGCAAGAGGAGCGAGGGTAATCTCATCTTCCCTACTCTCCCTGTCCTCCCCACACCCTCCACACACAGCCACACTCACTGGGGCTGGCAGCACTCACTGTGGCTGGCGGCACTCACTGGGGCTGGCGGGCAAGGCAGTACTTGGCGGCGGGGGAGGCGTGCGCAGCGAGGGCGATGCAGGAGAGCGCAGTGGCCTGCACATGGGGGTCAGCAGAGGCCAGCAGCAGCGCCACCTGCCTGTACACCTGCCGCGTGCAGTCAGGGTGTGGGTTGGGCGGGGAGAGAGAGGAGCGTGTGCGTGCGTATTATGTTGGGAGCGCAGGGCGCGCAGGGACTGTGGTGTGTGTGTGTGTGTGATGTGGGCCTGTGATGGAGTGTGGAAGGGCGGAGTGTCATGCTACATGCTGAAAAGAGAACAGAAATCTCCAGTCACACCCCGCATTCCCACCCCACATCCCATGCCCCCACCACACACCCCATCCCCCCGCCACACCCCCTGTGCCCCTCAAGCACACCTGCAGGGGGCCGGCAGCGGGCAGCAGCAGCAGGTCATTATCGCGGCACAGCAGCAGGCGCCCCCACGCCTCCGCTGCTGCCGCCTGCCATGCCACCACCGGCCCCTGCAGCAGCGCCGCCAGCGCTGCCAGCACCCTCTCCACACTGCATGGGGGGGGAGGGGAGAGGGGAGGATGGGAAGATGGGGGGATGCAGCCACGCCACACCACCACCGGCCCCTGCAGCAGCGCTGCCAGAGCTGCCAGTACCCTCTCCACACTGCATTGGTGGGGCGAGGGGAGAGGGGAGAGGGGAGAGGGGAGGATGGGAAGATGCGGGGATGAGGCGACCAGTAGAAGAGGAGAAGAGGAGAAGGGGAGAAGGGGAGAAGGGGAGAGGAACAATTGCTGCTGTACCAAAAAGAACAACAAAGCCTCACACCCACCTCATCACTCCACGAGACCCTTCACCCCCAGCAGCAGCATCAGCGCCAGCATCCGCACCACTCCCAGAAGCCCCCACAGCGATGCCATGCAGGCCCGTGTCCCCCCCGGGGTGAGCCGCCGCGGAACGAGTGAGAGAGGCAGGCGGGGCTGCTGCTGCTGCTGCGAGTGTGAGTGGCGGCGCGGAGGCGAGGGGGGTGGCAGAGGAGGGGAGGGGCGGTGTGTGGGTGGGGTAGGAGGAGAGGTCGATGGCCGCTGCGATGTTGGCGAATGTGTCGACTGTGTTGCTCACCACCTCCTCCTCCTCTGGCACGTGGTGGAGTGGGGGTATGGGGAGCAGGGAGGAGCAGGGGGCAACAGGGGGGAGCAGGGGGGGCAGGGGGCATGAGGGGGGAGCAGGGGAGAGCAGGGGACAGGCGGGGACAAGTGAGGAAAGGTGGGGACAAGAAGAAAGTGGCAGTGGAGTGGAAGCATGGGGAGAGGAGAGAGGAGAGAGCGGAGAGGGGAGAGGGGTGAGGGGTGAGAGGGGGTGAGCAGGATGTTCAAAGATACGCAGGGCAGGAAGCGAACGAAGGGGGTGAAGAAAGCAAGGAGAGGCAAGGAAGTGCAAGGCACGGGGACATGAGAAGAAAAACGACCTGGAACCTTTCCCCCCTCAGCAGCCACCTCCGCCTTGAGAGGAGTAGGCATCCCTTCCCAGTGGCTTTTGCTCGACTCCTGCATGCTGAATGCTGAAATCCGAGAGCCCACTTCCTTTTCCCAGCACGGCAGCTCACCGCGTTGAAAGTCCTCCATGGCGCCCACGAGCATGGCCACACACGCGGGCAGGGCGGCCATGGCGGAGGCGCAGTGCGGCAGGAAGGAGAGGTTGCGCAGCACACTGCTCGCCGCCACCGCACACTGCAGCCGCTCCCCCGCACTGCTGCTGCTGCCCCCGCCACCCCCGTCCCCCCCCGTGCTGCTGGCGCTGCTGCTGTGGTTAAAGAGTGCCCGCTCCGCCCACCACACCTCCCGCTCCTCCGCACTCAGCGGCCCCTCCCAGGCCCCCCCCTCCCCCGTCTCCTCTGCTTCAGCCTTCCCCCCCACCCCCCCTGCCGCGCCCCCTGCTGCCAGGCCTCCCCCATCCTCCCCTCTCCCTCCGCCCGCCTCCACGCCCGCTTCCCCCCCTCGCGACTCCACCCCGCCTCCCCTGTGCCCGCGCCCATACGCGCTCATGCCACCAGCGCCAGCAGCAGCAGCGGCGGCAGCGGAGGCAAGGGGGTCGTCCGCGGATGGGGGGTGCAGGGCGGAGATGGGGCGCGCAGGCAGGGGCGGACCCGCGGAGAGCGGGAAGTAGGTGCTGGGGGGGGGGGGTGGGTAGAGGGAGCATGGCAAGGGGGGTGCGCAGGGGGGAATGGGTTGGATTGGAGGGATGGACGCGAGCAGGGGAGGGGAGGGGTTGCGTGAGGGGGCGGCACGAGAGGCGGGGCAGTGAGACAGACGAAAGAGGTTGTTGCGAAGGGTGGGGGTGTTGGGGGCAGAGAGGGATAGCTAACCAATATTCAATCCACGACGACCCCACGGCCCATGATGTATGATCCACAATCCACAGCCCATAATGCATGATCCACACCACAATCCAAGGCCTACAATCCTGATGCATGCTGTACCGAATGCGCTCCCCCAGCGGATCATGCATCAGGCGCGAGAGCCGCCCCGCTCCGCCGCTCCTGCTGCCGCCACCGCCCCTCCCAAGGGGGTCACTGCCGGCTGGGCCGCCGCCCTCGGGCCCTCCTCTCATGGCTCGCCACGTAGCAGCGTCAGTTATCTCGAGTGAGCAGGCGCGCCACGACGCCACCTGACGGGTTTCAAAAGGGGCGGCAGGGCAGGTCGTGGGGAAGCACAAGGAGGGCGGTGGAGACGAAAAGTGGACGGGGGAAGGGGAGTTGCAGGTGTGGGATGGGTAATTGGGTGGCGGAGAGCACATATGAGTGAAGGAGGCGAAGGGGCGAACCGTTGTAGGCAGACATGATCGGTTAGATACGGTGCAAAGCGGTGATGAGGCGTGCAAGACGAGTACCACAGATACTAAGGCTGAGAGCAGCTGTGGTGCCTTGCTGAGCGGGCCAGCCCCCTGCTGCCACGTGTCCTTGAGCGAGAAGCTGATCAGCTGCAGCGCGTTCAGCGCCCACACCACCTCGCTCGTGACGCCCGCCTCCACCGCCATCGCCAGCTGGCGCGCCCTGAAGTCTGGTGCCACGTCAGCATCAGATGGGAAGATGGAAACAAGATGATTGGCGGTAAAGGGAAGCGGCATGATGGCGGAACAGATGGTCGGTTCGCCTGTGTGGCGCTACGGCGATCCGATGACGAAGCTTTATGGTCATCCGAGCAGGCGGGCATGCGCGCATGCGTGATAATTGGTCAGCAAATGGAAGGCCGACTCGATTTGATCGTTGGCGTAACGGAATGGTCGAAAAACAAGAAGGGACTGCGGCTCGGATCGACACCTCGACTAAGATCCCACTCGAAACTACTCCTACTACTACTAGGAAGCGGGGACTTGGGAAGAGGGGTGAGAGGGAGACGCGAGGAGCGAGGCGCGACCTGTGAGGCCGGCGCGGACTTGGAACAACGGGCCGGCGCTGCTGGGGATTGGCGGGAGAATTAACGACACTGGCTTCTCCTCCCGCTCCTTCCGCTTCGCCTTCCTCGTGCCGTCTTTCCCGCCGGCCGCGACGCGCAACGAGGCGCGTCGAGCCGGTCGCTCGCCGTCGTCGGGCTCCTCGGCGGATCGCCCGCGCGTGGCGCGAGCGTCGCTGAGGGTTTTCCTCCGTTTGTACCTCCCCCCTGCTCGCGCCGCATCCGGCGTGCCGCTGCGCTTCTCGTTGTGGCTGGGAGCCCGCTGCGCCGGCTGCGCGCCGGTGGAGCTTCGGCGCTGCCCCCGCTGAACCGATCGAAGCGTCATCGCTGCCCTGGAAGTGCGCTCGTTGCCCCGCAGGCTTGCCACGACGAACTAGTTGCCAAGTTGAATGTGGTGGTGGGTCCCAGTAGACGAAAGCTAAGGAGATACCAGCCTAGTTTATCTGGGCTCAAAACAAGAAACCAAAATGATTCCAATGGCGAAGCTTGTGCTCGTAGCGAAGCGGAGCGAAGCGGAGCGAAACCCGAGGTGGAGACCCCGTAACGTGTACAGATGGATCAAACCGTTTTACAATTGCTGTGCAGAAGGCGATACAGAAACTAATTTGATTGGACAAGCATCCAGTTCAGAAGGAAAACATGATTGGAAGGAACTAGTAATGTTCCTGACCCGTGGAGACACAATTCTCTATGCTGAGCCATTGCGTTGGCTTCAGGTCAGTATGTAGGTTCTTTCCAGCCAAAGCAGGTCCCCTTATCACCCTCCTGATAATTTCTTATGACCAGCAAACCCTAAGCCTGTTCCTCCTTACCCCCCCCCCCCCCCCCCCATACACTCTTCTCTGTTGGAAACAAGTGATTTAAGCGCTTCTGCTGTGTCGAAACATCAAGTCGTAAACGAAGCGAAGCACAAACGAAGCATCGGCGAGTCAACCATCGGAGGTTGAAGACTGAAGTAGCCGCTGGAGGTTACGCGAAGATCAAAGGTCAGCGACCTTTGACTTAACAATACAGTGCGACAGCAAGGACAAACAACTGACTCGATACAGAGCAGTTGCCCGAGTCGTAACTGTATCGAACCGCAACAGCAACAGTAAAACAGTTATTAACTGTATCTCTTCATATTCCTTGTACTCTTATAAAACCTTGTATCTCCTTGTTTTAATTAATTTACTTTGCCCTCACATACCAGCGCAAGGTGGTTCAATACTCTTCACTAAAACGCTTCCGCAACTACAACATTCCTACCCAGAGTTTAGCCCTGCAAAGATCCTAAGGGCTTTTTCTCAGCCCAACATGGTATGAGAGCTATCAGGGCAAACTCAACTACTTTCAAGACACCTACATCATTAGAAGACATGGCAACTCAGAAGGAGAGAAGCTCCTCTAACGGCTCTCCCGATACTACTCCTACTCCACCTCCTGCCTCTGGGCTACAGACAGAGGAGGGCACGACAACAAGACCAGCAGCTGGGTCTACTGAAACTCCCGCAAATCAAGCCGCGGGCTTCGACCCAAGCATGATGGAGAAGTTCTTCTCCTTCATGTCCTTCTACGAACAGCATCAGCAAACAGCACCTGCGCAGTCAAACATCAGCAACAACAACAACGACGTCACGCCCATGAGCCTTGACGGTTCATCCTATGCGCGCGGAAATCAGCAGCAACCCACCTTTGCTCCGTACGAGCCCCAGCGTGGCTCCATCAGCTTCGTGCCGCGTCAACAGTCTTCACCTGAACAAGAAAAGACATTGGACGCACTCCAGGTTCAGTCGCAGTTCGCGCACGTCTTAAAACTTCAGACATCAACACCTTTCGACGGAAAAGGATTTCTATACCTGGTCATTTGAATTCGAGCTGATGATGGAAGGCGCGCAGATTCTCGGATTCTTCGACGGGTCCCTGCCATACCCAACACACGGAACGCAATACGACAAGCAGCAGTACACGTATCAGTCAATGATGGCATACACGATCCTGCTGAGGAATTTAACTCCAAACCAGCAGCAGAATATCCACTCTTATCGAGGATACGGCAACTCCGCCGAGCTCGCGTACAACCATTTGAAGAACCTGTATCAAGCAACAGACAGCGTCAATCAGAGTCGGTTAATGGCACAGCTGACAACAGTGGAGATGAAACCCGGCGAAAAGGGAATGGCATATATCAGCCGCTGCCGCGAGTTGCGCGACAAACTTCTTCGATGCGGAGGATCGATATCTGAAGAAGCCTTGGTCACAGTTGTCATCACTGGTCTTGGTCCTCGTTGGCGCTCCACTCGAGCTATTCTCTGAGCTCACGGGAAGATCTCCGAAGGGGCACTTTGCGCCGAAATTCACGCCGAACAACAAGATATGGACCTGCACGAGGAACGACACAAGAGAAAGACATCAGTATCAGAATTCGCATTCCACACCCAACGGCGCTTCAACAACTCCAACCGACAAAACAAACAACAACAGCAGCAGCACGTACCGCCGTTCTGTCATCTCTGCAAGACGTCTGGACATCCCCATACACACCGCCCAAGTCTGCGACAGTCAACACGACCGCAACGACAACTTCGGCCTTCAAGCAGTCAAGTCGCCTCAACACAAGCCCATCCCACTCCTCAAGCTCAAGGAACGTCGACAACAACGCAACCTGCGCAAGGAGCAAGAAACATCGTGAGCTGCATGGCAAGACTGTCAGACTCCTGCATCACTGAATCACCACCGCATTACTCACCAGAAGAACAACTTGACGAAAGCACTCCTCGCCGCGAGACACTGGAGCCGAACCCGACATACGCAGCCATCGCCCAGAGCGAGCCGTCCGGGAAAGACACTTGGTTCTTGGACAGTTGCTGCGGACATCATATGTGCTCCTCGGGTCGCTTCGTTCAACCCGAACATCAACTCCAGCGCGAAGTCGTCATCACCGTTGCCAACAATCAAAACCTGCGCACATGACGGCAAGGAGTTGTTCAACTTCAGTCAAGAGAAACAAACGTGATACTACAAATGTCAAAGGTCTTAATCGCGGAGGGACTCGGCTACAACTTACTGAGTGTCAGTCAGCTGATGGCAAAAGGCATTCATCTAGAAGCAGATAGCACCACCCAGGAATTCAAGTTGTATCACGGGAAAGGCGGACTTTACATCGAAAAAGCTGTGTTGAAGAACAACGTCTTCGTCCTCGACTTCGTTCCAGACTTAGGCACCGCCGACAGCGACGGAATCGTGACCTTCACCTCTTGGACACACCCACCGGACCTTGACCCTGACTTCAGCCCCGGCGGCTTCTGGTATTCACACACCATACCTGAAACAGAAAGAACGAGAGCATTAGCAACAATTCAATCGGCAGCAGCAGAGACAACATCGGCAGCAGCAGAGACAACATCGACAGCAGCAGAGACAACATCGGCAGCAGCAGAGACAACATCGGCAGCAGCAGAGACAACATCGGCACCAATCGCTGGCCCTTCAACGGCACCGGTCTTCGTCGACAACACACCACCGACTCCTGCGCAGCAGCTGAATCCAACTCCACGAGAAGTCCATCGAAGCGCAAACTACACCGCAGGCTTCTACTCCAACTCCGACTTATACCGACGCTCACCCGGACATCGCGCTGACGAAGACCTCTGGCATAAATGAATGGGACATCCGAGCAACACGACGTTAAACAACACGATACGAGCAGGCGTTCTTGATAAAGACTCACTACTCTTACCCGACGGAAGAGAACTTCAACGAATGCAAGGAACCTGCTTCACCTGCCCCGAAGCTGACTTACCGCATCAGCCCTTCGTCTCTCACCACAACCCAAGTGCACCGGCGTACGCACCTTTGGAGAAGGTCTACAGCGACATACTGTACAATCGCGAACCTGGTCAAGGAGCGTACAACTACGTTATCACCTTCATCGACGCCGCTACACGATACGTCTGGCATCTCAACCTTCCGAGTCGCGACATGGCTTTCGAATCCTTCGTCGCATGGCTTCCAGTAGCAGAACGAGAATCAGGCGTAAAGCTAAAGAGCTTCCAGTCAGACGGAGCAGGGGAATATACGTCACAGCAGTTCAAAAACTACCTGGCAAAACGAGGAATCAAGTGCCTCATCTCCCTTCCCTACGCCCATCAACAGCAGGGTTTAGCAGAAAGAATGAACAGGACCCTTCAGAACACCATGCGCAAGCTGCTACGTGGCATGCGGCTACCCAACCACCAGTGGCCCGAAGCAATGGACCACGCCGTGATGCTGCACAACTTGCTTTCGTCATCATCGCTCCCGAACAACGCATCACCGCATCTGCTGTGGACAGGGAAATTGGGCAGCACAAAAATGTTGCGAGTTTTCAGCTGCATGGTACAGTACCGACCCCCAGCTGCACGCGCCGGCCGACTCTCCCAACGTGCACATTGGGGACTACACCTGTGCATCGAAAAACATTACAACGCATGGAAGATTTTCGACATCAATACAAAGGAAACAGTGGCAGCACGTGATGTTATCTTCTACGAACGCCTCACCCTTTCAACGTACCTGTACAACTTGGAAACTTCACGAGATGTCACAGGCGGATTTCGTGGGGACCGAGCCTTCGCTTCGGCAGCAGATGAAGCTGACCTGGACGAGCAGACCATGGACGGAGCTTCGGAAGAAGCCGGACCTCTTCCCTACTGCTCGGTGGATATTCCAATGGATGACGACAACCCTCGCGAGAGCGTCAACGCCGAAGTCTTCTACGACTTCGCCGACACTGGTTACGTTACACCCGCCCGATTCAACACCAACGAAGCCGAACGCATAGGACCCAACATCTTACCTGACCCAGAAGCAGGTGACGAAGCAGCTTATCCCGAGGACACAACACTCCCCCGCTACACACAGAGCGGACTGCAGATCCTTGGCCTCGTCACCGCAGTCCACGGCTCAGCGCCTCCTAAAGAGCCTGCCACGGTTCAGCAGGCTCTGGGGGGGGAACATAAGGAAAAATGGCGCGAAGCCATGGACAAGGAATTAAAGGCGCTGGAGGAACGCAACACTTGGAAAGTCGTTCCTATCGGCGTGGCACGCAACAAGACAATCCTTATCGGAAAATGGGTTTTCCGTGTGAAAACCAAAGCAGACGGCACCATCGACAAGTTCAAGGCGCGCTGGGTAGTACGCGGCTTCGACCAAGAGCATGGACGGGACTTCACCGAGACGTTCGCGCCAGTTAGCCGACACACCTCCCTGCGGATTCTCCTTGCGATAGCCGCTATGAAGAAAAAGAAGCTACGTCAAATCGACGTCGCGAACGCCTTCCTCTACGCACCTGTTGAGAAGATTTGA